GGAACTGAGACATCTGGCGGCTTTGCAAGAGGAGCCTTCCTTGGGCTTCCTTTTCGTCGTTGGCAGTTTTCACAGGCTGCAACATACTCCTTGACGTCACGAAGCATGTTTGGGAAATAAAACATGTCCTTAAGTTTGACAAATGTTCTAAATACACCAGGGTGAGCAGCGATTGGAGAAGAGTGGGCTAATTTTAATGCACTCCTTCGAAGTTGTCGAGGAACCACAAGTTGGCTAACAATTCGATCAGGTAAGTTTCTCACATGATACAAAACACCATTCTGGAGTTCAAATTCTTCCAGAGGGCGTGGAGGTTTTCTGTGAGGGACTGCTTCCTCTTCCAGATAAGCAATAATTTCATGCCACATCGGATCCTTCAGTTGTTCTGATCTCATGGTTTTTGGGTCTGGATCCGCTATACTGACAGCTGAAATATTTCGACTTAACATATCTGGAATGTGGTGTGAGGTACCAGGCTTGTACAGAATGTTAAATGAATAGCCAGACAGTTCATATGCCCACCTAGACATCCTTGGAGACTTTGTTTTCTTTGTGAAAACGTACACAAGTGGTCGATGGTCAGTGTACACCGTAAATTTGCGACCATACACATAAGGGTCAAATTGCCGGACGCTTTCAATAACGGCAAGAGCTTCTGCATCAGTAGCAGAATATCGAGTCTCTGGTCCTCTTAACTTTCGACTGAAGTAAGCTATGGCATGGGGTTTGTTCTCACTATCTCTCTGCATTAATGCAGCACCGATGGCAACTTGTGATGCGTCAGTATGTATCTCAAATGGGAGATCAAAGTTCGGTTTACGCAAAATCGGGGAGTTCATCAAAGCATCTTTCAAAGATTGAAATGATTTCCGGCACTCATCTGTCCATTTGAATTTAGTATCTTTCTTGACAAGTTGGGTTAGAGGTGCAGCTACTTTAGCATAATCAGGAACATGTTTTCTGAAGAATCCTGTAGCTCCTAGGAATCTTCTTACCCCCCTGACTGTTTTTGGGGCTGGCATCTCTGCAATTGCTCGAACTTTGTCAGGATCAGGGAGAATACCTTCAGGAGTAACTCGGAATCCTAAGAACCTGAAGTTCTTTACAACAAATTCACATTTGTTAACATTTAGCTTGAATCCAGCACAATCTAATATATCCAGCGTTTCTTTCAGATGACACAGATGTTCGTCAAAGTCCTTACTGTTGACAACAATGTCGTCCAGGTAAGCTAATGTATGCCGACCGAGAACTGGGCTAAGAATGGCATTCATAGTTCGCTGAAAAGTTGTAGGTGCCGTAGACAAACCAAATGGCATACGTCGCCACTGAAAAAGACGATAACCATCGCTGAATGCCGTCTTTGGCCTATCTTCAGGTGCCACAGGGATACTCCAGTAAGCACTCCTACTGTCAAGTAGTGTAAAGACTGCTGTTTCTCTGAGCTCATCCACCAGCTCATCAATCCTTGGCAAAGGGTAGGTATCAGCTATTGTCACAGAGTTCAGCCGACGATAATCTACACAGAAGCGAACTGTTCCATCCTTCTTTTTAACAAGCACTACAGGTGAGAGCCAGGGTGATGTGCTTGGTTCAATCACACCAGCCTCAAGCATGGCATCGCACTCCTCCCGTATCTGTTGTTTAGCTGCTTCAGGTAGTCGCCACTGGCGTGTACATAAAGGCTGAGTCTCATGTGTAGGTATACAGTGCTGAACATCTGGCACAGTGCCAATAGAGAACTTATCTGAGCTAAAAAGACGTGGATAATTAGCCAATAGTGTCAGAATACCTTCACGTTGCTTGTCTGATAAATGGCTCAAATCTGGGCCATTTTCTTGATGATCAGTTGCCATAGTAACCGATGCAATGTCTGGAGGATCATCTAAACTTGTCTCAGGAAAAACAACAAAGTCACTGTCATCATAACCGAAGTCTAGTTGACCGTGAGCTACATCAAAATCATCATCCTCAAATCTAAAGTCTGGATCAGAGGCATCACCGCTATTCTTAAATTCCTCAGGTGAAAATTCAGCATCAGCAGAGTTATCCTTTAACTGTTCCTCAACAGGATAAGATCCTTCAGGTGATTGCTTCAATTCCACCACTGTGCAAAGTGCTCCAGTTGCCATGTGTGTACCATTTTGCAGGTGAATGGGACGAGCTCCTCCATTCACTACCCAAACAGAAGCAATTCCATTCTCAGGCACAACTACAGTCCTAGGAACGACAACTTTGTCAGTGGCTGATTCTAGAAGCACTTCCTTATCATTGAATGTCTGAGGCACAGTCACCGAAACATAACGACCACTACGAGGAGGACATAGAGTGGTTCTCCTGAGAGCTAACTTCTGACAGTGATTCCTTGGAGTGAATTCTGCTACAGCAGTAATACCTAAAGTCGTCCCAACAGCATAAGTTATAGGAAGGATTATCCCTTGAAGCTTCAGGTAATCTTTTCGTGGAGTATGATTATGTACCAACTGGTAACAGAACCTTTGTAGAAAATCCATACCAATAAGAACATCCCCTGGAAAATCTATACCCTCCACCAAACACAATCTGTGACAACACTTTCGGATTCTCCTGCCATTACCAAGAGATACATCAACATCCCACTCAGATGTAGCCTCGAAGAGCCGGCCTGAAACTCCTCGAAGACCACGTCCCTCATGATAAGTTCTTTTGGGAGTCATTGTCTGCGAAGCACCCATTTTAAGCAGAGTAACTTCAGATCCAGTATCAATAAAAGCTGTAACGTCTACTCCTCCAACACGAATCTTCACTAGAGGTCTCCCACATGGTCCTTGAGCAGCAATCTCAGTAACCTCAGATATTGTCTGGACCGCAGCCTCTGTCAACTGTCGTTCTCCTTTGTATAAAATCTGGTCCTCGGAAGCTGACCTTTCTTGGGCTCCTTTGATACCCAGAGGTGAGTGGAGCTCCTCCTCTCTGGCCATCCTGAAAGGGGCACTCTCTTCGAACATGACCTTCCCTATGACATCCCCAGCAAGTGATAATCGATCGCTGATTTCTTTGGCGATATGCACGAGGCTGGTCACGAGAGGTCTCTGCAATTCCAGATCTTCGTGGTTCTGCAGGAAGTTTAGGAGGTTCATCATGGCTAGACACTCCCACTCTGGCATTCCATAGCCGCTGTGAGGCTTCAACAAGTGACTGAAGCGAATCACCTTCCTTAAGAGCGAGAAGTTCTCTTAGCCAGCTTGGCAATCCTTGCAAAAATACCCTTCGAATTAACTCCTCAGGGCTACCTATTGCTTCCCGGTGATCTCGATAGCCTTGATACACCATTCCCTCAACTACTGCATAAAAATCAAGAGGAGCCTGCCCTGCAAGCATACGCACTTCATAAAGTAGAGTGAAAAAGTCCGAGGCTGAGCACGTTCCTCTAATTTTTTGTCGTAGCTTTTGTTTAAACTCTACCCAGGAAAAGATATCATCAAATATGGGTGAGTTGATTATCAACTCAGCCTGTCCTCTGCAATGTGCTCTTGCAGCCCGAATCAGAGCCTCATCAGTGGCAGGCTTGACTGTATTTTCAAGCTGCCTAATCCAGCCTTCGACCTCTTGATTTCTGCGAAGTGGCTGAGAAGCTGGTGCTTCAGCTTTAAACTTCGAAATAGAATCCCGATCAGAAACTATCAAATAAGTTGGCTGTGATGTAGACTGTGTGGTACCACTATTTTGTATCCGTGTCGCCTGCTGACCCAGAGGCGTAAACAGTGTGCGGGGAGCAACTGTGGGCCTTGCAGAAGATGAAGGGTCAACAGTAACCTGCGGTTGTGAGTCAGCCTGAATACTAAAATTCGCCGGAGTGAGCATCGGTGATGTGTCTCTCACAATTATCCGCCTGGTAGTTCGCGGAATAGCGCCTCTCACAGGTGACGTGTGAGGTGAAAGCGCAGTGGCACCCTGCGGTTCTGCAGCACTTGTAGTGGCACCAGAGTCTAGCCTCAAAGTTAACCTTTCCAGTAAACCTTTTATCTCGTCACGGTCCTTCTCTTTCTCCCTCTCGAGACGCTTTACCTGATTCGTTAACTCTTTAATCATCCCCCTCAACTCCGTGACCTCATCAACCAGAAGGATTTCATCATCAAGGTTGAGGCGAGATTCCTCCTCAAGCTCAGGCGCAGGCTGAGACTTCTTCCTCCTTTCCCTAACCATCGTATCAAACAAAGACAAACACAAAAACAAAGACAAAGACAAACACAGAAATCAAACGTCACAACGAAAAAACGCCAAAATACACAAAAACAATTCCACCATCAATACCACCAATAATACAAGAAATCAATAAATATGATGAGAGCTAAAGGTTTAAAGCTGGTAAATCACATTAAAATAACAAGCAAAACTCAAAGTAAACACTTAAATTACGTACACTGAACAACATCTTACTCTACACCAGTCTTCATTAACCTTTAACTATCATCATTGTATGCTTTGGCAAAATCTTCGAAACACTCAAGAACATCAGCACAAGAACAACTCCAAACGTCATCAATAATTAAACACTCAATCCCACCAATTAAGCCACCATTATCCGCTGTAGGGGTTGTCTGTGTCTCCCCCCTAGTTTGCGGGGCCGTAGGAGCCAACGAGACCCAAGCCTCCGGCCTCCTGTTCCGGCACAGAGTAAAAGTCATTGACGTTTGTCTTGTGCAGTATCATAGTTGGTAGCGTCAAAGAACAAGATGTGTGAATCAAAGTCTTTTGCTCAAAGCATTCATCAAAAATATAGATAATTAAAAATAACTGATAAAACGTAAAAGTGAAATATGAATAAATTCAAGCTATTATTAAAAGAGAAAGAGTTAAAATAAGTTAAATAAACTATAAAACTTCACTGCTGCACTGTATCACCAGTCTTCAGATTATATCAACTTATTATCATTTATCATTAGATTTCATCATTTCATTATTTATCATAATTAAACTTATTTTCATTTATGTTTAGTTGGAAAAACGAAACAAAAGGCAAAGCTCAATACTATTATTATTTAAAACAAAAGCGAGAACACAATTAAATAAAACCTCCGGAAAAATAAAAGTTCAACACAAATACACGTAAAAATGGGCAATCTTAATAAAACAAATAAAAACAATACCTGATAAAACTGCAGACTCACTGTAAGATCCATAAAACGTAAACGGAAAAACACAAAAAAATGACAAAATCTAAAAAAACAAAGGCGGTTATCTGAGGGATAGTCCGACCATAGTACCGAGCAGATGCCTGTGCGCAACTCAAGCAAGGTGGTTGACCCCACCTTATTTATCCAAACAAGGTCGTGCGCCAGGAGATGTTCGCGCATCTAGACTCATTTCATGGTTAATTGTCGTCTGCCTTCTATGAGAGTTTCTTAAAATATTAAAATATTATCAATAGATTGCCTTAGTTTAAAAATAAAAGGAGGTTTAATACAGAAAAATGCACATAAAATAATATAAACAATAAAAGAAAGGAACAAACACACATAAATTCAAACACACGATAAAAAATATATCCGTGGGCTAGCTGAGGGGTTTGGCGCCAAATGGCCGTTGTCAGTTTTCCCTCGGCCTTGTCTGTCGCCATCTTGGGCGCCATCTTGTTATGCCCGTACCCATGAGAGCGACCTCCCAACGTCATCCTTCACAGGCCTCGAGTGGGACATCGGGACATCGAAGCATGGATAGCTTAGACCAAATCTCCTCGATATGTTGAAAAATGCCCAGGGCGTCTCCATCCTCCTCCTGCAGCGCCTCCGTCAGGCAGTACCTTCTGCAGCGTCTCCGTCGGTGCCTCCGTCATTATGCTCGCGCCCTGGTCCAAACTGATAATATTGGTCGCGGGGGCTTTTTATGGGGGTTTTGGGTGATGCTGAGCGGGTGTGGGTCGCCGGAAGAGGCAGTAAGAGCGGCAGCTCACTACACACACACACACACATACACACACACACACACACAAACACACGCGCACACATTTATGTATAAGTATGGATGTACGTCTATATTATTGCCACTATTTTTTAATGTAATTCTATTAGTAAAAATGTTGTTGTTGATGAAATTATTTATTTTGTTAAATTTTCTCTTTAGTGGTGTATTTGTTGGGCTCATTAATTAACACATACGTCTGTAAGTGCATGTGAAAGTATAAAACGCAAGGGAATAAAAAGTTATTAACTGAAAAATATCATAATTACCTTTATTGCAATTCTTTTTATAAACAATCACCAAAGACCAGACTATTTTAGGAGCAATTACCTATATATATGTAAAAACAGATGAAAATAAAGCTAGTCCTTTGCAGGTACAAATTAAATAAATAAAGTTGACA